TGAAGACCCCCCTGCTTAGGGGGCTGCTCTACAGTGGAGAGGGCCTGCTCACACAGCAGACCATACATCTACACATCTGCAGAAGTGCTGCTGGGGGCTGATCAAGATCTCAGCCCCCTCTCTCCTCCAACTCGCTGCTGCAGCAAAGACCAAGACCCTCCTGGTCTTGGTGTACCTTGTGCCCTTGGAGACACCAAGGGCCAGGTATCACTCCCTTYTCCCCTCTCCCTCTACTAACCCACTCTCCCTACCTCTCCTCTCTCCTCTTACTCACCCCTTCTCTTTCCCCCACCTTCCACTGCATCTTTTCTCTCCTCCTTTTATCTTCCCCACCCCACCTTTCTCCCAACACCCATTCTTTTACTAATAGTCATTTCGTCAAAACGGACATATTATATTTTTTGAACGAAATCAAAACTGATCTTTTTTGCCAAAATCTGATGGGAATTTTTTGCTCCTGGGGGTCGGACCCCCTACATGTATCTGGTCTATGGTTGAGACCAGATACCAAAAAAAATTGTAACTGGTCTCAACCATAGACCAGATACATGTAGGGGGTCCGGCGTTCCCAAAATGCCGGACCCCCAGGAGCAAAAAATTCCCACCAGATTTTGGCAAAAAAAGTCAGTTTCGATTTCGTTCAAAAAATATAATATGTCCGTTTTGACGAAATGGCTGTTACTCTCCTTCTTTTATTTCTTTCTTTTCTTCCTCCTTCTTTTCTCTTTGCTTCTTGATCCCTGTCCACCTTTCCCCATCCCTCCTCTCCCCCAACTACCACCACCCCATCCCCCTACCTCCCACTTCATCTTTTTCTCTCCCCCCACCTATTTCTTTCTTTTCTCCCTCACTTTTTATTCCCCTTCCCCCCTACTTCGAAAATTTCTCTATTTTTCTTCTTTCCACCTCTCTTTTGATTTATCTTTCTCTTTTTTCAAGAATTTGAAATATCTTCTTTCCCACCTTCTTTTATCATTTTCTGATTTATTTAATTAATTTTTTTATTTATTCTGAAAAATTCGATTTTCTCTACGGCAACCCTATATCTGATTAGTTGTTAGTTTTCTCATCTTCTTCCCCACCCTCTTTTCTTATTTTTTAAATTTATTTTATTTATTTTTACTTATTCTAAAAATTCTTGGCGGCAACCCTAAATCTGATTAGGTGTTAGCCTTTCTTGCTTTCGACACATATTTTGACCCCGGGAGGGTAACGAAGTGCTGCCGAAATTTTCTGATTTTCTCTTACTTAGTCTTTTCGGCACACTTCGACCCCATGGGGGTAACGAAATGCTGCCAAAAGTTTTGAAAAGTCAGATAACCCATTTCTCCCCACCTCCTCACACATTTATTTACTTATTTATTTATTTATTATTTATTATTTATTTTTTAAAATTTCTTTTTTATTTATTTATTTGCGGCATCTCTAGTGTGCACACCTCGGTCTCTCGTTTTCCCTTGGCACATTCTTGACCCCGTGATGGGTAGGGAAATGCTGCCGAAAATTTAAAAAAAATAAATATTGTTTCTCTTCACATCTTTTTACTTATTTCTCTTATTATTTTTTTTATTTATTATTTATTTATTTTCTTATTTATTTTTATTTCCTCTCGAAATCTCGCTGTTTATTTATTTTTCTCCTGTCTCCCCCCCCCCCAATGCTTGCTATTTTACTTTCTTGATTAGGTCACCGGTACCCTACCCTAGCCTTAAACCTGGGTTAGGGTTTTCTTAGGGTTTTTGTAGGGTTTAGGGTTCCTCAAAACCCCCCTACTTCCCCGTCCTCTTCGGGCACTCTGGACCCGAACCACCCCTCCCCCTTTGACGGCGCCTGTGCTAGCCTTGCTAGCGCCGTTCGCCACTTTCTACCGCGGACTTCCCCCTACGCCCTCCGCTCACGCGGACCTCTTCTGGCCCCCTCCAGTCCGGTCCGTCATCTCCCCATGGCTGATGGTGCATCACACGCCGTCGACACGGCGATGACCATGACATCAGGCTCCACACCCGTGCCGACGGACCAGGGCCATCAGCCCCAAGGGGATCTACACACCCTCCTCACCTCCCTCCTTGTGCCCATCCAGGCGCAACTCGCGACCCTCGCGCCCATCCAGGCGCAACTCGCGACCCTCGGGCCCTTATAGGCGCAGGTGGGGACCCTTGCCGCCGGCGTGCAGCAACTCCAGGACGCTGGTCGTCCTTCCTCTCCTCATCCTCTCTCTTCTCCTGGCTCTCAGTCCGGGTCCCCAGTTCTCCGACAGGGTGGCCACGACGGAGTTTCTTCCTCTGCCGCCCCCGACCCGGCCATTTTGGTGACTGTCCACGCCCCTAGCTCGACGACCGCCACGAGTCAGGCCCTTCCTCAGTCTACGGGCGCACTGGCCCAGATTCCGGCTACGACGGCCATGGGACCACAACCCGTTACCATGGTCTCAGCGTTTCCGGGTGCCCCGCTCCTCCCCCCCCTTCGCACGACYGCAGCGCCACCTGGCTCTCCCCCCTCTGGGATGCCCCGCGCCGCTTGTGCATCCACTTCCTCCACTCTTCCCCCTGCTACCCCTCGCTCGACCTACGTTCGAGGTCTCGAGGACGAGATTGCCCAGCTCCGGGCCAACCTCGCCCTCTTACGCCTTCAGCCACCCCCACCCTCACAGGTGGCCGCGCCTTCGGGCGCACCCCCTACCTCCTCTACCCTTCCTCCCATGCAGGCTCGCTTTCTGCGCCCTGCACCCTATACAACTCCTTCCTACCTTCTTCCTACTCCCGCGGTTGCAACGACCTCTTCTACCGCAACACCCTCACAGCCTGCCGCTGTTGCCACCGCCGCTCCCCCATGCGGCCCGGGCGCACAGTCAGTTGCGCCCCTTTCTCCAGGACCTGCGCCGACTTACTCAGCCGTGGCACATGCCTCTGCTCCTCGAACCCCTCGCCGCCGAAACGGTGGCGCACCACTCATCCGTTGCCTTGTATGACGGTACAGGCATACTCGTGACTCGGTGGCTGCAGTCTGCCACCCGCACACTCCAGCTCATGGGCGCCACACCCGATGCACGGCGCACAAAACGTGGGTGGGTCACCTCTCCACGCGCCTGCGTGGCGGTCCTTTCGAGGCCTGGGAGGATTTCTATGCCTACTCCCTTCGTGACGGTCGGACTCCGACCTTCGTGGATTTCCAGGCGTTCCTCGAGGATCGCTTCGGAGCCCGATACGACGTGACTGACGCCTTCGAGCGTGTCGTCATTACATGCTGGTTCGGCTCTGGTGGCGCTGCCGGCCTGAATCGCCACATCCAGGTCTTTCAGGACGCCCGCCTCGTTTGCGACGTGGCGTTCCTCCCCGAGGCTGCCCTCATCGATCGTTTCTTGGCCAGCCTTCCGCTCGAGTAC